TGCGTCGAGGTGAAGAATTTTAAAATAAAATGCATTGAATTGTTACATTTGAAAGTGACAAATAAAATGAGTAAATGTGCTTCAAAACAAGTGCTTGACAATCTACCTGCTTCAATGTAGTATTACCAATGGGCGTACAACAAATAAGATATTACAAAGTAAGAATATCATTCATAGATTTACACTTTGACGCACGGACAACAGTCCAAATAAAATTAAAAGCTTATAGAAACGTTCCAAAGAACAACCACAGACTGCTTTTTAGATCCCCTGAATATTTTAAACTTTTGATTTTTTGTTCTGTATAAACAGCAAGATATAACAACTTTAAACACGGGCTCAAAACAGCATAGAATTGCTAACACACCTTTTTAAAAAAAGGAAATCATTAAATCCGAAAAAATCGATTTGTAATTTATTTTCGTAAAACTTAGATTCGCGTTGGGCGGAGGGGTACACATCGAAGGGCGCGCTGAAGTTTTAGTCTAGTAAAAATAGTGGAGTACCTGTTTTGAACTTGGAGGGTACTGGTGCTCGTGCTGCGTTGCAGCGAAGGTGGGTAATTTTTGCCCAGCTGTGAAACGTTTTGTTCTGGGATTGACTTTCTAACCTCAAATTGGATGTGGATCTGACAAGGAGGCGAGGTTTACACAATTTTTTACTTTCTCGCGCTTAAGAAGGGCCTTCTTAAGAAGAGTAAGTTATGTAACATGCGCAAAGAATTTTCGGCATAAATCTCTTATTACAGGCCCCTTGTAGCGAAAAAGTGGATAAATCCTGATCCTAAATTTAGGGGAAAATCATCAAACACGTGGTGCAGCCAGAATTCATGTTTTGTGGGACCCAGATTCCTAAAAGCCGATTGACGGCAAAACGTCTGTCTGTCTGTCCGTCCGTCCGTCTGTGAACAACGCTAGCAGCTAAACCGTTCAGCGGAATTTCTCCAAAATTGATATTTTCTAATCGATATGGCTGATGTCGCGGCTCCTTGTATTTGATATTTTAATATGAGGGGTACTTTACATGAAGCCCTTGAGACAATTTCAAAATTTTCTAAAAATGGCACCATTGAGTTTGAGGAGATTGCGTAGTTGAATAATCTAAAGGATGTTTAATGGAATGGCGCAGGTCTCATGTTGGTAGAAAACTCTGATTTTTCGAAAATTGAAAATATTCAAAATATATTTCCGCGTCTTCGTACAACTAAAACATTTAAGATAGAATTTTTCCCTTAATGAAATCTGTTCCTCAAATAGAGATTTTGAAATTAAGTCATGTATAATTTTTTGAAAATTTAAGTATTTTTTGCGTAATGTTGCGTGAAATATAAGCAATTTTAAATTTTTATTTAAAGGATTTTTCTAGAAAGCGAATCCATCTTTTTGATGAAATTTTGGTATTGAATGGTATGAAGGACGTTTAAGAAAACGGTGCAGATCTCATGTTGGTTGAAAACCCTGATTTTTCGACAACTGAAAAAAAATCCGCGTCTTTCTACAACTGCAGTTATGAAGATAAATTTTTTCCTTAATGAAATGTTTTCCACAAAAACAGATTTTCAAATAAGTTCACGTTATATTTTTGACACTATAAGTATTTCTGGAGTAATTGGGCGTCAAAGTTAGAAGCCTGCTCTGAAAATCCGAAGCTTCTTAATCGTAAAGGTGTTTTGAGGCAGTCGGATGCTAAGTTAAAATATGCATAATATTTCATATTACTTCGTTAGTTTCTTACATTGAAGCTTTTGTTGTACTGTTGTACTTTGTTGTACAAATTAATCTTTTAAAAATCATTTGAAATTTATTTTAAATAATCATAAAATAAAGATTGCTATTCTTCAGTCGCCCGCTCCCTATTTACGCAGTTGGATGCTACGTAAGTTATAATTTGTATATTAGTTCATATTTCATTTTATTATTTATTATACATTTGCTATTTAGTTTTATATTGTGTCCTTTAATTGTGTGAAATATGAAAACTAATAGACGAGCGGTCATTGTTGGTTGTTGTTATCCATTGTCGTAACGCCGCGCCGCAAGATAACACGATAATGACGGCCTCTGGCACTGCACGTGCATTCACTAGTGAAAAGAATTGTCATCCGCACATACTGTGAAACTGTTTATCACGTTGCATGTAAAGAACGATTCCATTTAGTTTAGACAAACGTTTCGGAATTTAGTGAGAGTCTTAACATGTTTGAAACAACCCGAGAAACACATGTTCAAGTGGCGAACGAATCAGTGATAAAGGCTATCTAGAAGAAAATGGGCAAAATTCAGAAAAGTTTGGATACTAAATTCACCTATCTAGAACAAAGCTGACCTCGGAACAAGAACAAGGATTGATGGATTGTGGCCTCACTAAATTTTGTTGATGGAATAATTATTAAACTTCCAACTTATTTCTTACAAAATGCGATGTAGAACCAACGGACGCGAGGGTCTGGTCACGTTCGGCGCAAAGAGGCCCTGATTAGTCAGACCCTCAGCTCAACCATTTCTTTGTTCACGACTGCAGCTGGAAGAGACAATTTGGGACCCCCTACTCCTAGTTTATGATCTGTTAAGTGTTCGTTCGCCGGGAAAACACCAACCCACCCTCTCGAAATCACCCACCCGTTGGTCTACTAATCAGTAACTTAAAGTTATAAACAAAAAGGGTGACAAAGAATTAGATACTGTAATTTTCCATTCGGGTCGCTTAACACGAGTCCGTCGATTGATCGAAATTATTCTGCAACGCAATAACCTTAAGCCTTTCGCCAGCCTTTGTATCAAAATCTTGCATTCTTCTAAAACTTTTGAGAGTGCAAAGAGCGAATAACCGAGACCGCCGGGGACTTCATTACAAACCGCCGGGCACTTCTTGTCAGACCAGCCCTTGACTTAATTTTAGAACGCTGTGATGCACGTTTTAAAGATTACTGTTTGTTAAACCACCCTTTAGAAGCAACCTATAGTAAGTAGTTTCGCCCACATTTGCTTGCGTAATTTGGAAATTTGAAGAACACATTTGCATTTTCGAAATTACGCTATACGGCTTCCGAAACTTCACAATTCCATAAAGCTTCGACACGTATTACGAAAATTTGTCATCGTTGCCAAAATGAACTAAATTATGAGCGCCTGATGCATCGCCTGTGGTGTGTGTCGCGATTCAGCCCGTTGGTCTCCTGCTACCTGCTGCTAGAACTTCTGCTTCCATGCTCGCACACGTGCATCCGCTAGAAAGAATGCGACTCGTTAGACCAGCTAACATGTTTCCAGTCATCAACAGTTCAATGTTGCTGTTGACGAGCCCAGGCGAGGCGTAAAGCTTTGTGTCGTGCAGTCATCAAGAGTATACGAGTAGGCCTTAGGCTCCGAAACCTTTTATCGATAATGTCTCGTTGAATGTTTCGCACGCGGACCCTTGTTGATGAGCCAGCATTGAAATCTGCAGCAATTTGCGGAAAAGTTTGCACTTATGTTACGTGTATACTCCACAGTCGTCGTCGGTCCCGTTCTTGCACGATCTTTTGCGGCCGCAGCGATGCAGGAGGTTTAATGTTTTACCGGATTCTCGATATTCACGTTACACTCGTGAAATGGTCGTTCGGAAAAATCCAAATGTCATTGCGACCTCGGAGGTGCTATATCGCTTGCGACGACTATAACACCGCGTTCAAACTCACTTAAATCGTGATAGCCTGCTATTGTAGCAGCAGTAACTGATATAACAACTGTGTCAGACTCTGGTTGTCTTGTATAGTCGTTCCCCACTAGAGCGCCGTATTGTGATTGGTTTCAGATCTCTTTATTTTACGCGCATGGCTCTACCAGCTTTTTGGCTTTTCAGTGTACGCTACGTGAGATATTATATGATAAATTTGTAGATTCATATTAAACATGCACAGCATTTGCATGATGAGTGAAACAGCAAAATTGCTATATCCATTACAAAATAAATTTTTAAAAACTCGATTTCTGAGAAACTTTTAACAAAAATTTGCTTAAGTGTTAAGTTCAGAACAGTTGTTATTAATTAATTTCCAATGATTCGTTGAAATACGTTTCGTTTTATCGGAGGAACGAGTTCAGAAAACAACGATATGTGCTAGAAATTAGGAGCGGAATTTGTTGATTACCGCCTTGAACTTTCTCATACTCATACGTCTTGCTCATTCGTTTGTGGTTATTGTAGTTTAAAACATATCCAAAGGGTAAAAATAATTTATTTTGAACTCATCATTGTACGGTATAAGTACAGATGTGTATTGTATTGTTTTACCCGCTTTACGGTGCACAAATATACGATTTATTATTAAAAATAATGAGATGGTTTGCTTTATGCTTTTTGCTATTGCCTTAATGGAGAGCGTTCGTAAAAGAGACATTGACTCCCTATGATTGCCTAGTAAGCAGTTGAAGTGTCAGAACATATAATTTATTTCTTATACTGGAACCACTTCATACAGTTAACTAGGTCATTAAGTAGGTTCTCAATTTTTACGTCTTAGCCTTTAATTATAAACCTCACCTGGAACATAATGAAGTGAAGGCGCCTTACGATTTATTTTGACAAACTGAACTGTACTTTTTCTGGCGATGGTTAGGTAGTATCACTGAAAAATAATGATATCTATTTTTGTAATATTAATGAGGAAGACACGAACACTGAAGGGCATAAAGACATTAAAGTTAATACCATCGTGAATTTCTGACACCTTAGGAAATACTTTGAGATATCAGTATTTTTTCAAATTGAATCCGCCAGACGATTGTAATCCTGAAGTACTCAAAATAGCACTACAGGCCTAGTCAACCATGTCGCAGGTCGCTGTGTCATAAGCCCCCTATTAACTTTTTATTGCTGCAGTTGGATGAAGATGGTGGGTGGGGTGTGATGTCCCATAGAATAATTGAGTCGTGTGCAGCTATCTCTATATAAAGCGGGCAAGTCATCAGAGCCCCACAGTTATATTCGGTCTCCGAAGAGACTATTCGCTGTCTGAGGCCATGGCGTTGACCAACGCCGTCGTCCTACTGCTGCCGTTGCTGACGCTGCAGAGTTGCATAGTAAGGACTCGGGCCGAACACGTACACGGGAAACGTCATCCAGAGCATGCTGGTGGTTTACGAACCAGGGCTGGCCGGCCACCTCCTGTTGATCCTTCTGTCTACATTCCGTCGCATTTTATTCAGTATTCGCATCCTCGCTTTTCTCCAGTCCTAGAAATACTTAAACAACGCCAACAAATGCAAGTGTCTGGAACCTTGCAATCAACCAGTGATACGACACCAGATCCTGCAAACGTCGAGACTGGATCTTCAGGGCACAGATCGCTTGTAAGACGTGAGTTACAAGACAAAACTCGCCTCCTATCAGTCCCAAGAGCACCTGTTCTTATTTCTAATGATTTGCCATCTCAGCACTATGTTTCTCATCCTATTATCCGAAAACTTGAATTGGATTCATATGAACTTGAAGGTTTGTCTTCTGGTGATCATATTTCCTTGACTATTCCTGATGGTACTGCGAAAAGTGAATCTTTTATATTTTCAAGACCATCGCGTTCAGTGAATCTGAATGAAGAAAAGCATCTGAACTCTCTTGAACAGTCCTTTCCTTCTCTTCGTTCATCTTCGTCTTTGGAACTATCTTCATCGACCGGTAAACAATCCTCCACTGCTAATAATCCATCTTCATCTTCAAATCGTATTCCGTCTTCATCCTCATCTGCTGCTAACAAACTTATCTCTATTCCTACTGAACCATCTGCAGATCATGTTACTTTCCCTGTAAATCATTCATCACCTTCCGAAGATCGTCGATCCCGTACTTCAAATACGCCAGTCGTGCCCTCAAACAGCCCACCTGCCGCTGAAGACAACGTACCACTCAGTTCTTTCCCTTCTTCTGGCCATTCTGCGACCTCTAACTCGACCACCTCAACTAGAGGGGACTCGCACCCCGCAGCTCTATCCTCCCCGGATCGATTACCATCTCTTGCAAATAGCACCTCCCGGGTTATGGAAGAACAAATTGCCAATGAAAAAGTTACCATCTCGGCAAAGGATACGTCTCCTGATGACAAACATATGCTGCCAGACGAAATTGCGTCCAAAGTACTTCCATCCATTCTCCCACTGATGCAAGCCCTGCAGTCTATGATGGTGGGCTACGGATCTACCTACGAAACAGAGTTTATCCCCGACGTGCTGCCTGCTACACATGAGGAGATTCCTTATGCGGCAGCAGCAAACACCCAGTATGACGTCGTTCATTACAGAGATCAACTTGATCATATGAGCAAGGTATCACCCATGACTAGTTTTCTGTTCGGGGGAAGCGGAGAAGGGAAGAAATTTCCATTTCTTTCAGCTCCAAGGCAAGGTGAGTGTGGCTGCTTCTTACTAAAAGTAAACATTCGATGAATCAAACTTTCCTAAAAATTCCGTTTTGGTTTCATTTTCTGATTTAGTTATATTTCTTAGAAATAATCACCAAGTGAAGTGCATTATAAAAATAGTGAACATACATAAAATTTGTGTCCAATTTATTTTTAAAATACTTTTTGGCGTTATCATGCCCATAGCTGTGCGTTCATTCCCTTTCTGAAAACACGAGATACATTGATAGAAAATGTGATAATCGCATCAACATTGTGTTTAGCTCAATTTATTTATAGAAAGAGTTTACACGGGTTAATTGAACACATCTCTCTTTTTTGTATCTCTTGTCCACGTAAATTCATATCTAATTTTTCATAATAGTGTTCATGTATTTCGCGTATGTTGCAGGTAGAATCCTGGGATATGTAGAGGGTTTCACCGTGTGAGAAATTTCCGGCAGAGAATATAAAACATCTATAGAAGATTAACGATGCATTATTAATCCCGAAAAATGTAATGAGATGAGATGCAGTAGTATGTTTACGCGAATTCGCTTAGGAAGTGCTTGAATTAACTTATTGCAATCTTACTTAATTTTTTCTGCTATTTAAAAGTATCTGTATTATCAACGGGAAAACATGTAAATATGAATATTGAGAAATATAAGATACATGTATTTTAATATATTACTTTTCAGTTTAGATGTCCGTACCTGACTTTACAGATATATATTTCCATCCCTTCTTATTCTTGTAAAACATTTATTTTTCGGCCAATATAAGTCTTGTTTATATTGTTTCATTAGAAATCAATATTAATGCTGCAATATCTCGTATTATTCGTGACCTTCGCAATTTTTGATAATACAATGAGTTCACCGAAAAGAAGACCTCTTGTCATTTTTAAGCCTCCTTTGTGCTATTCAAAGAAGAAAATTGGAACCGTTTTTGAGAAAAAAATAATAAATTGCTTTTTCTTCAAGCCAAAATTTCGTGAAAACTATTCGTTGCTTTAACAAATTGTACATGACATATTCAAAAAATATCTTTAGATAAGATTTCATTAACGAAAAATTGTGTCTCAATATAGTTATTTTGGTATATCAACTTTTTCAACTTGCAAAAATACAGAGTTCGCGCAAATTAGACTTGTATAATTGTTATGGGTTTTGATAACGAAACCTGAGCCATATTTATTTGAAGGAAGAAAAAAATTGGAGCCGTATTTGAGAAAAATGTTTACAAATTGCCCATAATTTTAGCAAAATTACGCGAAAACTACTTATATTTCCGAGTAGATTACACCAAAAAATTACTATTCAATATTGTACTTGTAGTAAGACGCCGAAAAATATCTGAACTTTCGCAATTTACTAAAATACCGAGAATTCAAAAAAAGAAAACCTACACCTTTTTTTAAACATATACATTGTTTTAAACGCTATATCCGAAAGAAAAACAATAAACAAATAATTTGGACTCAGTATAGTGAACGTTTTGAAAATTATGTATAGGCGCTGCGTATGTAAAGTACCCCCAAAACTCAAGTAAACGCAAAACATATCCGTTTCAAATACGCAAGGTCTCGTGTTCAGTCAGATCAATCGGAAAATTTCAATTCAGATGATAATCATCCGCACACGTAATGCGCTAGCGTTGTGCATGGGCAGCAGGCCACAGAGACAGACGTATTGCCTTCAATGGTTGTTTCATTATCAAAGACTCACTTAACGTGGATTCTGAGTACATAGCGTGATAGATGAAGTAATTTACTACATTTAGGGACAATAATTATCCACTTCTTCGATACGAAGCCGCCCAATACGAGTTTATCTGACAAAAAATAGCCACTTTCTGCAGCAACAATATCATACTTTATTTGTACTACGTATGCGAGGAAGTGAAAACATGAAATTAAAAAAAATATATTAGTCAAAACACGTACCCTAACTTAAACACTTAAGTACTACAATGTTTTAATTTAATTCATCTTTAATTTCTAATAGCAATTTAATTGTAATTTTGAAATCACACCTGATAAATACGCCGAACTAGTGGAGGAGCAACGTAGTAGTTTAGTGTTAATGATTTTAGTTGGGGTACATGTTGATTTGTATTTTGTTTCAAATTTTACATACAAATAAATTACACCTGTTAAAGTTCTTTGAATTGTATTTTGATCTTGATTTATGCTTTTAACATTTATTTATAAACATATTTGTGTGTTATATTGGTCGAAATTAATAATTTGATCTATAATATATTTAGACATTACAATTAGGTTCGATTTCATTTATCAAAATGTAAAACAGTTTTGCACATTTTTAAAAGAAATTTTTAGAATAAGCAGCTTTTTTTTGTTAATTATACGAATGTCGCTTCATGTATAAATGTACGTAGTAGAGCACCAATAATTTTCATTTCAAAAATATTAATTGCCCATTGATAATCTGGAATACATTTTAGTGAAAAAATAGCAATAAGTATGTAGAACATATTTGATTAAAAGTTAGTTTTTTTTATTCTTCCGCTTTCATTCCTGTAACCATCAAAGTGAACTGCGTGTATTAAACTGCGTGAAGTGCGAATGTATTAAGTTTTTTACGCTCTCAATGTCTACCAGCCTTTTTATTGGAACATTTTTTAAAATACGGACAATTTGATAATCCAGAAGGAATCCGGCACAAATTTATCCGAATTCTCGGCATGGCTAGTGACTAATATTGCTGTTGCTAGGTATGTCCTGATTTGACCAGAAAAAAAATCGATAAAAAAATTTAAGCACATGAGGGAAAGGATCGTTGGTAAAAAAAAAGATTATTTGCCAAGCGTAGCGAAACGTAAGAACGTGTTTATGTAAGAATGTTGTACGATTAAAAAATTCGACCCAGAAAGTTGACTACTCTGAAGCAAGCAGATTAGCAAGAAATATAAGACGATATTAACCTTTTTGAGATTATTAATGAATATTGGTCAATAATTAAATTCACTCAATTTGGAGACTTTTCTGAACTTTATTGTTCTCATCAGAGCTCGCTATGAGCTGTTGTCATGTGATTCCACCCCATTGGCCCCAGGAACCTCTCCACAACACACACTACATCTCTGACACACCATTTTGATTCCGTAAGACTTGATGAGATAGAATAAAGTTCTGCAAGGTAAGATAATATAGGAATTGATCAACTCCGCTTGACAAATCACAAAGAAACTATTTGATGGTCGTGAATTCAAGAAAAAATATATTAGCTTTTCAATTAGGGGCCCCTTTTGACACTTCGAGGCAGATATTGTCTCTTATAGCTCCATAATTATATCCATTGGGAGATTTCGACTGCCGAAGTCAAGAAACTAAATCTTACAAATAAATATATATATAGATATTATATATGAATAATATATTATATATATATAATATATATATATTATAATTTTATATATATAACACAAGAAAGTGTTTTTGAAATCTGTCTTTCTTGTCAAATCTTCATGTAAATTTTATGCAATTGTTATTTGACTATTACCTATACTTCAATTACATTGTTTTCCTTTTATGCTTTAAAGCATACAGGAAGGGAATAAATGGCTACAGTCTTATTTAATTTATAAGTTGCAAAAATTTTGATCTGGGAATGAACACAAAAATACAATCTCGGAGAAATTCCGAAATATTAGTTTCCCTGTTCCTCCACGTGGTCAAATAACGTCAGTAAATAGTTGACTGAATTCTTAGTAGTGAAATATTGGCGAGACAATGGATTGCAGAAGGAATTTAATGTTATTCGATTGTTGTTCCAAATTTTCTCCACCACTCATAAATAATTTGATACCTTAAAATTAAAAAGCAATTACTGGATAAGAACTGTGCTTTTACCAAAAACGCAATTGCTAAACGTGAATGTGAATAATTTGGATTGGTCGGAAATAAATTTTTGTTACAGGATCTAAGACCCCACATTCTTATTTTATAATCTTAAGAGGACAAAAGTCTAAATGTACTATTTTTTACAATTTACAGTAGACAAAAAATTGAAATATTTTAGTGGATAAAGACGTTTGTAGGCTTACTGTACATTTTGTCGTATTTACCCTCCTTTCTTAGTGCATAGAGTTTTCCAGTTTTCTTTTTACCTGAAACTATAACAAAATAACACGATAATTATTCTAAAAGGGTATACTTTGTGGCTCCAAATACAGGATGTGTATGGGCCACCTCCCTAACTTCTAAAAGGTGTACGATATGGATTGCAGTTTTCCCCCAATACTGAGGAATCATGGGACAAGTAAAATGCTGTAGAGAATTTTTTAAATGGAGCTATATATTTTTCTTATCAACAATGGATATACCATAAACAGAGGAATACTATGATCGGTCATATGTTAGTATTTTGATAGTAATTTGAGTATAAAATTAAACTTTCTGACATGAGTTTTTAAATTAAACCTAACTGTCGCCCCGTACGTAGGTCTCGGCACCACGAAGTACCCCGTACCCGAAGGCAAGAGTTGCGAGGGCTGCTACAGGAAATCTGTAAGGACGGTAGTCCCTACAGATACAATGTAGGATACCTATTGGGCTGTCAGAAACATTGACTATTAGGTTCCAGTAAAAATGTAAACTATAATTTAAAAAGTGCAAAGAGTTCGCACTGGTTCAACTAGTAATTAACATATTATAAAACAGAATATTGTTTTCAAGATTGTTAAAATATCATTGAAAATAATTTTAACAATTTGTCGAATGTTGGAGAACTTCGAATCTGACTGACTAGAGTCTGGTTGATTATCAATCATATGAATGTCATGTCAAAGTGGCCACTCCAGGTGTTAAATCTATTAAGCTATTGTGCGCTAGCAGTGCTTATGCCTATGTAATATTTAACGTGTCCTTCGCTTTACTCAATGTACAATTTATGTGAAAAAGTCATACCTCTGTATCAGTATTACTGGCGTATAATTATTATTTTGTAATAACTATTGTTGTAATCGTTTCATTCTATCCGTTGTAGGCTACCGACAAGAGTTTTTATTATTATTATTGTTAATAATAATATTATTATTATTTCACCGTAAATCACTAAAAATATTATTCTAACACTATTCAAACTACTCTAAGAGTACAAAAGATGACATTGGTAAACTTCGTACTTTAAATAAAAGCATTCTAAAATAATATCGGTAACTTTTCATTTTTATTGCTTATATTTTGCTATAGTAACATTCATTTTTATTTCTAAGATTTAATATTTACTTATTATTTGTTAGTGTTGATTCAAGCATGTTCCTTTCAATGAAGCTAGGAACAAATAATATGGTTCGATCCTTATGATTAGTCGTATTTGTTAAACTATCAACTGTAATTTTTTTAAATATTTATTATTTTGATCATTGTTTTAGAAACAATGTATGATATGTATGTATTGATTTCATTTGTATATTTTTGTGTATTACAAAATAGTTGAACATTGTTTTCACTGAAACTGTTCTTTTATAACAATTGTTACTTTCCAATTACAATATTGATGTTTATTAGATAAACAATGTTTTGGCACGTCTTTCTTTATATATATATATATATATATATATATATATATATATA